AGTAGTCTCGGACCCTCATCTGGTTTAATTTAACACAAATGACCCTCTTAAATCAAGAACAGGAACATCCCGTTATACATCAACACGACACAAAGTAATAGTTCTATATTAACGCGACCAGCATATTCATTTACGGTTTAAATGAATTGAAATGCTCCGACTCAGAGCGTCTTGTAGTTCGTGTTAATCCGGACAACAATACTGAAGCCTTTGTGTATTAAGCACAAGTTCAGCTGGTCTCCAGCTTAACTCCGCACCGTTTTTTTCGTAGCATTGAGCTCAGAGCTGTAGCTCTTCTCCAGACAGCAGCGTGCTCTCCGAGAGCTCGTTATAACTGACCCACAGCGGTCAGTATGAAGTTTGTGCTGAACACTGTCCATCACCCACACGCGGTACCTCTGCTTCCGAGCCCAGTCAGCTCTGCTGTGTTCACGACAGGACTCCAGCGCTGCCTCCCTCCTGTGATCTGATCCGACAAATGACGTTTCCCTCCGCTCTGGGCCCCAGACCTCTCTCACACCACCTGGGTGCGATCGCACCCCGGCCAATCAGGAGACTTCGTCAATTAAGCAATTAAGAGTGCAGAAAAGTTTATTGAAAACGCAGGTTCAGTTTCTGAAGATGCATCTGAAAATACAGTTATAATTGTGCTTAAAGAGGTACTTTACCGCTGTAACAAGGATAAGAAGCAGCAAACAGTACGTAAAAGTGAATTCATATTCTATATTAACCTGACCAGGATATTCATTTACGGTTTAAATGAATTTACAAGACGCTCTGAGTCGGAGCATTTCGTTAGTGCTAATCAGAACAGCAATGCGGAGCCCTTTGTGTATTAAGCACAAGTTCAGCTGGTCTCCAACTTAACACACATTAAAAACAAACTTGGATTAATTGCAACACGTCGCCCCTCAATGTGCAGAAGACCTGTGCAGACACAAATGTATATATGATACAGGCAACCGAAAAAAACGCTCGCTTACATATGAATCTGTATCATTTCTCAGTGCAAATAAAACCCGCTTCAATAGGATTCGCGTTCAAATTCAAACCCGCAGCTGCTGCTCTCGTTGGTGTCGTGACTAATTGCACTTGAGTATGGCGTTAGTCATCTCGGACCCTCATCTGGTCTAATCCAGCATGAATGACTTTCTTAAATTAAAACGAAGAACATCCCGATATACATAAACACGACAAAGTAACGATTCTACATATTCATTTACGGTTTAAATGAATTGAAATGCTCCGACTCAGAGCGTCTTGTAGTTCGTGTTAATCAGGACAACAATACTGAGCCCTTTGTGTATTAAGCACAAGTTCAGCCGGTCTCCAATTTTACACACATTGAAAACACACTTAAATAAAGCGCAACACATGTCACCCCTAAAAGTGCAGAAGACCTATTCAGACACAAATGTATATATGAGATACACAACCGAGAAAACCATTCGCCTACATATGAAGGATCTCCGTATGAATCTTCATTTCTCAGTGCAAATAAAAGCCGTTTTAATAGGATTCGCGTTCAAATTCAAACGCAGTAGTCTCGGACCCTCATCTGGTATAATTTAGCATAAATGACCCTCTCAAATTAAGAACAGGAACATCCCGTTATACATCAACACGACACAAAGTAATAGTTCTCTATTAACCTGACCAGCATATTCATTTACGGTTTAAATGAATTGAAATGCTCCGACTCAGAGCGTCTTGTAGTTCGTGCTAATGAGCACAACAATGCGGAGCCCCTTGTGTATTAAGCACAAGTTCAGCTGGTCTCCAATTTTACACA